CTGAGGGAGTGGCTTTCGAGCAGAACAAGATCACCCTCCTGTATTGTCAGTGGCCGCCTGTGCTGGTCGTAGCGAGTCTTCTGAGCGCGCCACATGTGGTTTTGGTGTGTCCTGGAGAAGTCAAGCACCTCCTGCAGACACTTGGAGACCTCAGTAGCAAATGCACGGTATGCTGTCGCAGGAGGCTCCGCGTCGTCTTTGGGCTCAGCCTGTGTCCATGGGGTTCTCAGCTCCCGGCCATAACAGAGGAAGGCAGGCGTGTAGCCCGTGACAACGCTTTCAGCCGTGCGCATGGCCAGGGCGATTTCAGGGATGTGCTGGTCCCAGTCTTTGTGGTTGGAACAATAAGCCCTAAGGCACTGCTTGATAATGCCGTTGTGGCGCTCCACCATTTGCCCGGCAGGGCGGTACGGAACAGTGTGTCGGTCTTGTATGCCCCAATGCTCAAGGAGGCCCTTCCACAACCTGCTTACAAACGGCTTTCCATTATCACTTGAAATGGAGACAGGTGTGCCATGTCTGCAAAAAACCTGGATCATGCAGGCCACCACACTCTTGCTGTTTGCTGCCCGCAACGGAAAAAGTTCAATGAACTTGGTGAACTTGTCAATCACCACGAGAAGGTACTTGTGGCGTAGAGGCGTCATAGGCAAGGGCCCAATTATGTCCACGCTGAGCTGTTCCATAGGGGCAGTGGCCCATTGACTGCTCATCAGCCCTTCTGGCTTCTGCCGGTGGGCTTTGGTGCGCTGACAAACCTGGCAGCATCGCACATACTTGGATATGTCCGAGCGCATACCCAGCCACACGAAATTCTGAGAAACGCGTTTGAGGGTCTTAAAAAGCCGGAGTGGCCGCTAATCGGGTGGTCATGGGACAGTCGCAGGACCAAGTTGCAGAGATGGTTTGGTAGCCAAGGTACTTGCCTGTTCCCTCGGTGCTGTACAAGCAACCCACTCTCTTCCATCTCGGTCGTCTCCGCCAGGTCTTTGATCAAAGGTTGATCACTGTCAGTGGGCGGAAGCTTCCCTCCCTTCATCACAGTTCGTAGTTTTGACAGTATGGGGTCCTGCTCTTGTTCCTGGGCGAGGAGCCCTGCATCATTCAAGACAGTAGTGTCGTCCATTTGAGATGCTACAGCAGCTGCCTCAAAGCTGATTTGTGGGCTGGGCTCTGGAACAGCCATAGGGAACAGCGTCTCGTGTAGACTCGGGCTTGGAACTTCCTGGTGCTGAAGGGGAGCTCTGCTCAAGGCGTCGGCTGGCACATTTGCAAGACCCCGCCTGTGCTTGATTCTGCAGTTGAAACCTTGCAGCCGCAAAACCCAACGCTTTACACGTGGCGAGGCCTGGTCTGTGGTGAACATCCAGGATAGTGAGGAGTGATCACAGTGTACCTCAAACTCGGTGAACTCAAGGTATGGTCGAAACTTGTCCACTGCCCACACCACAGCCAGACACTCCCATTCTTGCACTGTATAGCGCTGCTCTGCCTCAGTGAGGACCCTGCTAATGAAGCTTATTGGACGCAGTTGAGCATCACTCTCGGCTGCCTGCAGAAGCACCGCTGCAATGCCGACTCCACTGGCGTCTGTTTCCACCACGAATGGTCTGTTGAGGTCCGGCAAGTTTACAACAACATCGTCGGCCAGGGACTGCTTAAGTGCTCTAAAGGCTTCTTCTTGCTGCAGCTCCCACCGCCAACGTTGCTTTTTCTTAAGGAGTTCTGTGAGTGGACGTGCAGTGATAGAAAACTGAGGTATGAACCCTCTGTAATAGCCTGCTAGTCCCAGGAAGGCCTGCAGCTGTTTGAGTGTTGTTGGTTGAGGATAGTCCAGCACCGCTCGCACTTTTTCCTTGTCCGGCCTACACTGCCCGGGCGATATTTCATGGCCAAGGAACTTCAGGTATTGACAGCACACGTGCACCTTCTCTGGGTTAATGGTCAGCTGTGCCGAACTTATGCGCTTCAACACCTCCCGAACATGCTCAAGATGATCCTCTAGGGTCTCCGAATACACCAGGACATCATCGAGAAACGCCATGGCAAACTGGTGATTAATTCTCTCCAGTAGTCGGTCCATCAGGGTCTGAAACGTGGCAGGACCTCCGGCAACTCCAAAGGGCATTCTCATGAACTCGAAGGTTCCCCGATGTCAAATGAATGCTGTCTTTGGAATATCTTGCTCTTGAACAGGGATTTGAAAAAAACCCTGTGAAAGATCAAAACTTGAGAACCACCTGGCTCGTCCCAGCTGTGCCAGCAACCAATCAGTCCTCGGCATGGGGTAGACTGGCACCTTAGTGCGTGCATTTAGCTGGCGGTAATCCACAGTCATGCGGTAGCCACCAGACTTTTTCTCAACCAAGACTGGAGCACTGGCATGCTGACTTTGGCTAGGGCGGATGAGGTTCTGTGCCAGCAGGTCTTGAATGCAGTTGTCCATGATGGCCTGCTTCTTGGAATTCACTGGTCGCAGTTTGCATCGGACAGGTGGGTTGTCTCCCGTGTCTATGCGATGCTCTGCCAGGGTTGTGCAGCTCGGAGTTGTGGTGAAGATTTCGCTGAACTCTTCTAAAATGTGTTTCATGCGTGGGTCTAGGTCTGACGAGTGGCCGAGAATGATCACATTGCAGGCTGCAGTCGCCTCCGGCACACTGGCACACACACTGGCATCGCCCTCAGCGAAAAATGCAGCGCAGACTGTCTCCAAAATCATCCACTGCCTCTGGCTGTTCCTTAACGGCCTTGACAAACGGCACAATTCTTTGTGGTTCTGTGCCGACAGTCCACCCACAAAGTGACACGTGCAGAGAGATGCCACTCACCGTCAGGAAATCCCTACCAAGGACAACGTCACGGCACAGGTCAGGAACGCACAAAAACTGCTGTCTGCGGCAACCGGCAGCCCACTCGATCTGGCACTTCAGAGACATGGTTGACTGCGACCAGCCTGATGCCAAACGCAGCACGCGTACGTCTGCCTTGGGTTTGGCTCCAGAAGCTTGGGCCGCCGCCGCGGCGTGCGGTCCGAAGAAGCTTACACTTGAGCCTGTATCTAGCAGGGCCTTGAACGTTGACGACCCGATACGGACGTCCATAAGGGGCTCTTTGCCACCGGCTGTGGTCGCTACTTGGTGCGCACTGCCGTAGGTGCCCGCCGGGGCAGCACCTACCGCCACTGGTTTCCCGGGCACTGTGCTTGCAGGTGACCCGATCGCTGGCACCGGAAGCAAACGGGTGGCCCCATTCGTCGACCCGTGGCACAGTTACGAGATATGTGGCCGAATCCACCACAGAGATGGCACTGCACACGCATTGCTCCACTCGCGGGCTCCTGCCGCGGCATCGGTCCTGGCCCGTAGGGTGAGAACGGAGGTGCTGTGTCGCACGAGTACTGTCGGTCCCGGCAGTACGACGGGTCTAGCGCAGCTGGATGCAGTGGCCAGTGATAAGTCGGCGGTGACGGTGGGGCAGCAGCAAACGAAGCGAACGACGCCGTCGCCATAGTGTTCGGCTGCGGCAGTGAGCGATGGTCGGGGGCCTGGCTAGGGCGGAACGCCAAATCTCTGGCTACTTGGTTGCTCGGAAGTGGCGGTGGTCGGTACTGGAGGCGACGCCAAGCCCGCTCCATTAGGCCGTCAGCTGCCTTCACCAACTCGGCGAGGTCGTTGTAGGCATGCCCCTCCACCAAATCTTGCAACTGAGGGTGCATCTGCCTCAGTACGCGCTGCACCTTCTCGGCTTCGGAGACCTCTTTCCCGATGCGGTCGTAAAACATAGCGATCGCATATATAAACTCTTTCAAATTTTCTTCCGGGTGCTGCGTGCGCTGTTCGAGCTCCGCCTTCAGGCGACGCTTCGCGTCAATCGACGAGAACTCGGAGCGGAAGGCGGCGGTGAATTGCTCCCACGAGTCGAACCCGCGCACGAACCGCCACCACAACTTCGCACCACCCTCGAGGGCAGCCGGTACCACGTGTGTCATCGCTTATCGGCGGCGACCCCCGTCATGAGGCAGAAGTTTTCCAAACGTTCAAGAAACTCCTCCGGCGACTGCAAGTCTCTAGCACCGGAGTAGCGGGGGAGGTGCGCAGCGGCGAGCCGAGGCGCAGAGTCATCGGTGGCCCGAGAGACCGCGCCAGTGTTAGCGACCCCAGCCCATGCTCCCATGTGCGGAGCCGTGGGCAGCGGCGTCGCCATCACTCGATCGCGCACGACCGCCGCGATTCGTTCGCGCTCCATGGTGGAGTCGTCGGTGCCCAGCAACAGCTCTTCAACAAGACCTTGGAGCCTAGGCATGTCGTCCGCTGCTGTTGTCGGGTCTGAAGCCATCCCGGACAGGCCCCCACTTGTCACGCGCTAACCCTAAATCGCACACCACACACCGCTACGTCTTGCCACTCCTTCCAACCAGCCTGAACTCCCCCTTCCCCACACACGCCACCCCCACCACTCCAGTCCCAATGATGATGATGACGCCGTCACGTAGTGCCCTCTCTCGGCCAAGTCCCGATGATGATGACGCCGTCACGTAACGCCCTCTCTCGGCCACCCTCACAATAAACACAGTGATAAAAGTGACATTCTGGTTTTTGGAGCAGATTCTAGATAAGCAAAAATACTATTTTGGAGTAGCCACTAGCAGTCAGTATGATAAACTAATCTTAATTCCCAAATACAGTCTGCTCGTCATGTACAAATACACAGTTAAATCAGATATATATCTAGATGATGCCAGTACATCTACTACTGTCGATATCCTAGTATAGAAGCTGCATACTATAGATGACAGCATACAGCTTTTTTTTTTGTTTTCATTTAGGCTTCTTGGATGGTCACTCTGTTAAAGGTCACTGTTTTGCACTTTCCAGCGCCATGCTAAAACAGGTTCAGAGCACTTACGAACAAATATTACACTTTGGAGTGACTGAAGCAGCACTTTCATCACTGTGGACAAGACATTGCAAGAAGGAGGATAAAATAAACTGGGACACTACCTTTGTCAGCTGTCAACGATTTGATGGTGCCGTCGTTTGCTACTTTTCTGCGCAAGAAAGATGTTATACAAGGCTTTCATTAAAAGAAAGAATCATGGCAGTCATGCCAAAATTTACATGTGATTCCAGTATGCTTTGTAAGCTAATGGCAAATACTTGCCATTTTTTTAAGCAGTTCACCCTCGTGCTCATGAAGTGTTAAACGCTAAGGTTTTCAGAAACGAGCAAAATGAAAGAACTGTCTGCAAAATCCATGACTGTGCGGTATGATAAGTAAACTACTAAGCTGTCTGCGAACACAGGGTACAAAGTTTCGGGGGAAGAACACTTAATTTATATTTTCGATATCAGAAATGGTTATCTCGGTGCTATTATTTAACTTATCTAAGCCCACACAGACCAAAATGAAAAGGAAAGATAACAGGACAAGCGCTTACTGAACAAGAAAGCCTATATTTATATTTCGTATTCATTATTCTCTTATTTGCAAGTAAGCAGTTGTCCTGTTGTTCTTCCTTTTCGTCTTGGTCTGTGCACGCTTAGGTCAGTTAAATCACACGTTTCAATCTCCTAACAAAGTTATCCATCCTCTCGCACTATATCTCAGGTAAGGTGATTCGAGATCTCACACTTTCTTATGTTTGGTATTGTGACACCAAAGATATGGCATTACAGCCATTTTTGAAAAGGCAAGACCAAGATTGTCTCGTTACATGATTCAATTTACATAAGAGAGAACAAGAAGTGCAGTTACTCATCACGAAGAGTGTTGAGTTCAAGTAGCAGTTCGCCCAGCACGTTGCCAAAGTTTTCCATGATCACCACCGATGACGTGTTTTCCACGTCCAGCTGGGTGCAGATGCCTCCAGCCAGCTTCTTCAACCAATCTTCCAGCACAGCTTTTTCTTCCTAGAAAGGAGCACAGCATACCACCATTCAAAGAGGGCCTCCTTAGGCTTGTGCAAAAACACGCCTTTTTTGGTTCAAGGCAGACAGTGATTAGCAAACAGTGCTGATTAGTAAAGAATATTTTTCAGATGATAATGTTTCCTTTCCTATCACGAAATATTTCCGGTTCATTAATTGAGCTATATAATAGCATCGTTGAGCTCGAAGTTGACGAATGTCACGCTGGAGTAATGCCGAATGCTAGCTGGGAACCAACGAAATTCCAGCTGCATATTCATTCACTTCAGGCTAATCATCATCATCAGGCTCCCCTTTACTCTTCCCTCATTATTTCTTTGAGTGAAATCGCCCCAACTGTGGCTTATCTCATCAAACGACCAGTCTTTGCAGCTGAAAAGTTCCTGGTTTGGTAATCAGGAAGAAATGCACGGTTTAAACCAAGTTTCAGAGCGGATTCATATAGTAGCAGGCATTGAACAGCCGTAGGGTGCAAGTTCAAAGCAGCAAAATATGTTACATCATAATATTTGCAATATTTAGCCTATTTAAGACCATATAACCCTCTCTAAGCCATGTCTTAAAAAATAGATGTAAATTAAGAAAAAAGAGCTCCATTCACAAAAGCTAGGTGAAAAAAAAAGCAATTTTCATCACTGAGGATACAGCAAAGATGTGAAACATTAACAGCATATGCAGAGCACTCAGAGGGCAATATTATATGAATGCAGTGACTGTTAGCACTCTAGAGCATTTTGCACATGCACAAAATACACTTGCAATTGCTCCAGTTGCTTCACTCATGCTTTTAATGCTACAGTTGCAAATACTGCAATTAAAACCCCACTTTCCATTATTTGTAAAAAGGAGAGTTCAGTATCACAAAAACATCAGGGTGCAACAGGGTACATGGGTTTGGGAGCAGTCGTGGGAGCAGGCAAACATGCTTTTTGCAGCAGGCTTGGAGCAGCCAGAAAGACGTTTTACATTTCTGAGCAGGCTTGCATCAGCCAAAGGGCCTTCCGGCAAGTTTAAAGCAGTAGGAACATTCAGAGCAGATGTAGGCCCGTTTAAAGCCCTTGTGAAGCAGCATCGTTGTACTTTTCAAACACACAGCTAAATTGTGCAATAGCCTCATTATTGCAATGAAATTATATAGACACTCCCGGTGGGTGTTCATCGTTGCCATCATATCCTGTATAAATAAAAAATTGGTACCATACCCCTGCACATCCTATGTTCTATCAGCAGCACGAGCAAGGGCGACGAACGCAGCGGAAAGCAGAGATCAAATGATCAGACCGGCTCCTCTACGCTTACTCAGAGGGTACGTGCAATAACATCAGATACCCCCGCCCAGGAGGCACGTAGCCCAAGAAGAGAGGAAGGGCTCCAGCCCACTTTCGAGGAGAAAAGAAATGAGAAAGTGGGGGTGTCATTCGGGCAACAACTATGAACTTCGCTTCTAAGGACGTGGTCGCGATCACTGGCGCAGATGCTATCTTGGCAGTCAACAGTGAGCGACTCGCACACACTTCCACGTTTTGAACTCGCACTGCGAAAAGACTGTGCGAAAAGCATTGCTCTCCTTGGTTTGGCCATATTCTCGAACACCAACGTTTTGGACTGTTACGCGAGATCAGAGTAAGCTGCCAGCCTCACTTCGTATAAAGTTGCATTTGCTGCTATCACATTGATTGATTCACCCTTGTGGCGCAACTGTGACTTTTATGAAAAGCCGCCCATGTACATCTCTTTTACCTGAATGGGCGAGCATCAAATGCTGAATCGATAAAAGCAAAACACAGCGGCCAAATTAACGACAATGCGCATGCGCTCGATGAGCAATCTTGTGCCCCTATCTCCACTAGGGTGTTCCGAGGAACCAGGTCCCCCTCCCGCCCGCTTTTGAGCACCGTTGCAGCCATCTTTTTTTTTTCTTCTCTTCCTGCCTTCAGGTTATAACCTGATTACAACCTGGTCATAAACCCACAAATTCTGGAAACATATGAACACAAGATTGCCTAATCGACCTTCACCAGAAGGTCAAGACCAAGCAAGAGCTGACGATTTCAACTGTTATTTTCGATCGATTCTTACAGTCGATAATGGCACTGTGAACATAAATGCTTCTTTATATAATCAGGATATCCAATTGTTAGGCACGCCTTCTTTATCAGAGGCTTGCATTCTGTCACTGCTTCTAGGCATCAATGAAAAAAAAAGTTGCGGTACAGATGGAATCCCGAATGGCTTCCTTAAACGCTATGCAGAACCAGTCAGTAAATATCTTTATTTGATATACTCCAAATCACTGGCAGACAGCTGCATTCCAGCTGAATGGAAAATTGCCAAAATTACTCCAATATTTAAATCAGGTATTGTCGCTAGTCCTTCTAATTATAGCCCTATTTCAATCACCTGCACAAGTAGTAAAATTCTTGAACATATTGTGTTAAAATTTCTAATTAGCTTTATTGAATCAAACAACTATGCTGCATTCAACTAGCATGGCTTTAGATCAGGACTATCTACAGTTACACAGCTCGTCGAAACACTTCATGACCTGTCTCTCTGCATTAATGAACGTATTCAAACTGATGCAATTTTTTTTCGCCTTCTCGAAGGCATTTGACCGCGTCTGGCACCCTAAACTACTACTTAAACTTAATCACTAGTTAGGCGATGGCCCCATCTTCCGATGGATAACTAATTACTTAACTGACCGTCACCAATACGTACAGCATGGCATCCACACTTCTGACCTAGCTCTGGTGTTGTAAGACGTTCCGCAGGGGTCTGTAGTAGCTCCAGTTTTGTTCCTCATATAAATGACATAACTACGCAGACGTTAAACTCAGACTCCTTGCAGACGACTGTATGCTCTACAATGAAATACATCATCATGATAATCAGGTGAAGTTAAGTAATTCACTGAACAAAATAGCTCAGTGGTGCACTGATTGGCAAATGACTATAAAGATTGACAAAACTGTATTTATGTCTATTACCAACAAGGTGTCTAAGTTTGATTTTCAATACCATATTAATAATGTGCCACTACGAAGAGTTAACCAGTACAAATACCTTGGTATCACAATTGCGTCTGATCTTAGTTGGACAGAGCACATGCATCAAGTGTCGAAAAAAGCGATGAGCAAATCATTTTTTATTAAACGGGCCCTGTGATTCGCCACACATGAAATGAAGCATCTTGCTTACGTCACATTTGTCCGCCAGGTCTTAGAATATGCTAGTATTGTGTGGTTCCCTCACACTGTGAATAATATTCGCTATACAGGAAAGGGTTTAGCGGAAAGCAGTGCGCTTTATCTTCAACAGATACGGGCGCAATGACTCACCTACTGCTCTATTACACCGTGCTGGTCTAGCCACCCTTCACAATCGTGCAAAGGTTTTCCGGATTAAATTTCTTTATCCACTTTTACGCAGATCATTCCGCGTAAACCCAGATCTTTACTTGAACTTTCGAGACACCAGAACGATGAGGCAAAGGCACGCATGGGAACTCGTAGAATACTCATTTAATGATACTTTTTTATTCGTTCTTTCCACGCGTAAGTCGAGAATGGAACACACTGAATACAGTCATTGACACAGCAGCCAACATTAGAGAAATTTATGAAACTAATTGAAGGTACTTATCTATACTAACCTAGTTAGCATGTACAGTGATCACCTGTTTTTCTTCCAAGACCAATTCCTTTAGAAATTGGTCGCTTTGCCGTCTAAGCTAATGAGGCGATCTGGGAGACTGTACACAAAGATCCAACGGAAAAAACACATAGTGAGAAGATACTAAATACTTATGGCGATTCCATTTTGTGGAAGCCTTCTGGATAGAAGGTTTATGAAAAAAAATTAAATTATACACCCAGCCCTAGCAAAAGGTTATGCAGATACAAGCCCACATGAGGAGGCAGACATACCTTTTCTAGCCTGAGCTGCTCCTGCAGGCCGTCTCTCTGTGTGACAACAGTACTATGCTCTTGGGCGAGAAAGTGCATCTTGTCTTGGCACTTGGCTGCATTGCAAGACATGCACAAGTGGTTCACTTCATGGTTTGCAATACACATCAGTGTCATATACTCTACTATTAACATAACACTAAATATGAGTTTAGCTCACATCAATCATATAATATCCATGGAGATCTGCCAGCAAACTTGCTAGGCATCTTGATACTTGTAGCTATACCTAAACTCTCATCTGTTTGCTAACACTTGTACTAGCCTTCCATCGATCGCCAGTTCCAGAGTCCTTGATAATGAACAGTGACTGCCATGCCACTACCTAACCATGTTACTATGTCAAATGAAGCCCTTATGTTGTTATTTCCTAGGGTATTATCCCGAAAAGTCGACAATATTTATTGAGACAGCTCATACTGCTTCCTTCCATCATTAGATTCTAAAATAAAGTGATATCACTTAATCTGAAGTAAATCTTACCATTGTCCGCTGTCAGACACTCAACACGCTGCTGCAGCTCTCCGAGCTGCTCTTCCAGAGCCATCTTAATGTCGACTGTGTTCTGGTACAACTGAGACTGCAAAAGTTCAAATGCCCTGGTTTGGAGATCACCTTGCCACTTTATATTTTATAGGACAAGCATCCTATTCATAAATCTTCATAAAGTTCTGCATGTACATATGCTGTCACATAGTGCACAACCAGTCAACGAATTTCTCACAGGCAACACACACATTTATTCAACAGCTGGGCTTTAGTAACCTTCGAACTAAGAGAACCATGCATGTGTGCCTCTAAGTGCGCATGTGGTATGTATTTAAGCATCACAATTTAAATGCAGCAGCACACACTGCACCCCACCTCTTGACGTTTCTTTAACAATGAAGAAGAACAATCCAAAGTTTGAATTAGAAAAAGCCTCGCCCACTTCAAACCAGCAACAACCAGCTACATTTTAGGCAAATTACACCTGTCTGAGCGGGACCTCATTTTGAGTTGACTGACACCTCTTCAGAACAAAAAAAACAAGCTCAACTATACAATACTTTTTCATCCAAGTCCTTCTTGCTGTCTTCAAGTTCTGCAGTAAGCTTCTTCATTTTATGTTTGCGTGCGGCCTCTGAAAAGATGAGGAAAAATAAACCACCAATAAGCTTTCCAGTAAAAACGTGCACAGTCAGCATATAGACTCTAGTGTTTGACAAGCAAGCGATTATTGTGACACGCAGAGTACTGCATTCAAATTCTCCCACAGAAAGTAGTACAGCTCTAGCATATTTCTGGGAAAACTGTGAACCTCCTGCCTAAAAATTTATCATTATCATTTTATTTTAGACCAATTTTCTTTACCACAGAAATGTCAGCCACAAACAACTAGCTTTCAACCTATATTGTCACGACGCAGACACAGCAGGAGTTCGATATAGAAGAGCTCACTTTAATTAAAAATGAAGGGCGCTCGTAAAGAGGACCGGGCAAGAGCTTCGTCTTCCTCTCTGGCTGTGCGAGCTCTCCTCTGCAGATTGAATGCGGCATTTGCCTCCCTCCAGGAAGAGCATCGACCCGATGCTCGGCTACAGAATACGCGGCGTATGTAGTTGACGTATTACGCAACTGGCTCACTGCAATATGGCTTCATCCGCACAACGTGTACGATTTCAGATTTTTGAGCTCGCGAGGAACTGTCAGAGATGACCTCATAATTCACGTCACTTAGGCGCCGTATAACATTGTAGGGACCAAAGTACTTCTTCAGTAACTTTTCACAAAGGCCGCGTCGGCGAATAGGGCTCCAGACCCACACTTTCTCGCCTGGTTGATAAGTGACGTATCGGTGTCGCAGGTTATAACGTTGTGCGTCGTAACTCTGCTGTCGGGCGATTCGCACGCGTGCTAGCTGCCGTGCCTCTTCAGCTCGTTGGGTAAAGGCTTGAACATCCATGTCTGTATCCTCGCAGTCGTGCAGCAGCAGGGCATCAAGCATTGTCGTCACTTCACGGCCATAAAGAAGACTAAATGGCGTGCTCCGTGTAGTTTCCTGCTGCGCCGTATTATAGGCAAACGTCACGTATGATAGAACGTCGTCCCAATTTTTATGATCCACGTCGATGTACATACTAAGCATATCAGCAATTGTCTTGTTGAGGCGTTCTGTTAAGCCGTTGGTTTGTGGGTGGTAGAAGGTAGTTTTTCGATGCGCTGTTCCGCTCAACTCAAGCACTGACTTGAGGAGCATGGCCGTGGAAGCGGTACCTCTGTCTGTTATTATAATTCTAGGAGCACCATGCCTCAGAACGATATTTAAATGAGAAATTCGTGCCGCTTCTACTGCGGTTCCACTTGATAAAGCCTTTGTTTCTGCGTAGCGAGTAAGATAGTCCGTAGCGACAATTACCCACTATTTCCAGTATGCGAAGTCGGAAATGGTCCAAGGAAATCCATTCCGATTTGTGCAAAAGGCATGGTGGGCACTTGAACTGGTTGCAACAATCCGGCTGGTTTTAAAGGTGGCGATTTTCGTCGTTGACAATCGAGGCACGTGCGGACGTAATGCTTTACAGTGCCTGGAAGCTTCGGCCAGTAGTACTTTTGTTGGATTCTGGCCAATGTGCGCGTGTATCCGAGGTGGCCGGAGATTGGCTCTTCGTGGCAAGCGCTCAGGATCTCATCGCGAATGGATGTCGGGACGACAAGTAAGTGGGCATTTCCACTGGGGGCAAAGTTCTTCTTGTATAGGACACCACTGCGCAAGCAGAATGATGGCAGGCTCCTTGCAAATATCTTGGGAACGCTTGTAGACCGGCCGTTAAAAAAAATTAATAAGAGGGAGCAACTCACTGTCTTCTTTCTGCTTAGACGAAATGGTGACCGTGTCGACCACTCCTAAAAATGCCATGTCACCATCTTCTGAGACATCACCTTGCTTTATAGGCGACCTGGATAAGCAATCAGCATCAGAGTGCTGTCGTCCCGACTTATAGACGACCGTCATATCGAATTCTTGTAGGCGTAAGCTCCAGCGCGCTAGCCGACCGGATGGGTCCTTCAAGTTGGTCAGCCAGCAAAGAGAGTGGTGGTCGCTGACTACGTGGAAGGGACGGCCGTAGAGGATATGAGCGAAACTTCAGAACTGCCCATACTACAGCAAGACATTCCTTTTTCCGTTGTGGAATAATGGGACTCTGCACGGGAAAGCGTCCTACTTCCATATGCAATCACTCTCTCGGCTGAGTCTTGCCACTGGACGAGTACAGCGCCTAAACCTACGTTGCTGGCATCAGTGTGGATCATGGTTGGAGCGTCCTCGTCAAAGTGAGCAAGCACAGGGGGTGTCTGCAGGCGCTGTCGTAGAGCGTCAAATGCTGCTTGTTCCTCTTCGCCCCATAAAAATGGAACATCGTCTCTCGTTATGCGTGTTAAGGACGACGCTATGTGCGAGAAATTGGCGATAAATCTGCTGGTAGTAGGCGCAAAGGCCAAGAAAACGTCTCACAGTCTTCTTGTCCGTCAGCACCAGAAATTTTCGGACGGCATCGATCTTGTCGGGGTTTGGATGAACACCTTCATCACATGTCTTAAGAATCGGAGTTCCTTGAAACCCAAATGACATTTCTCAGGTTTCAGCGTTAACCCAGCGGACTGTATTGCTCGAAATACTACTAGCAGCCGTCTTAGATGTTCCTCGAATGTTGGTGAGAGAACAATGACGTCGAGGTATACCAGACACGTCTGCCACTTAAGGCCTGATAGGACAGTATCCATCAGTCTCTGAAATATTGCTGGGGCTGAGCACAATCCGAAGGGCAAGCCTTTAAACTTGTAAAGCCCGTCAGGCGTAACAAAAGCAGTCTTTTCTCTGTCCCGCTCATCGACCTCGATTTGCCAATAACCACTTTTAAGGTCTATCGACGAGAAGAAGCGTGCATGCCTCAGCCTGTCAAGTGAATCGTCAATACGCGGTAGTGGGTATACGTCTTTCTTTGTCACGCGGTTCAGCTTGCGGTAGTCCACACAGAAGCGTAAGTTGCCGTCTTTCTTCTTAACTAGCACTACCGGTGATGCCCAAGGGCTTTTTGACGGCTGAATAATGTCATCATTGAGCATTTTCTAGACTTGTTCTTGGATTGCTTCGCGTTCTTTCGGTGCCACGCGGTATGAGTTTTGTCGAATTGGTCTTGCCGTCTCTTCCGTTATAATTCGGTGCTTTGTCAGTGGCGTTTGATTTACCCTCGAGGTCGACGAAAAACAATCTTCAAACTGGCCGAGAATATCTAGAAGACTCTGCCTCTGCGCTGGCGATAAATCTGTGCTGCACGTCGACAGGCAGTGGTGTTGAAAGCGACCGGCGTCTCTGCCTGTTGTACTGCGAAGCACTCGCGGAATTCTACAATTTCTTCGAAGTATGCAACTGTGGTACCCTCTGCAATGTGTCGACGCTCGTTGCTGAAGTTTGTCAACAGGACCTCTGCTTGCCCAGACACTACACTGACGAGACTTCTGGCAATAGCGATTCCTAAGAGAGTAAAAGCGTCGATATTTGTTCCGCGACACCTTCTCCACTATGCTGCGTGTTACATGTGACAGAGACGAGGCGGCATGACAACGGTGGCATGGTCACGTCGTCAATCACGCGCATGGGCTTGCGCTGCAGCGCTGCGCTATGGTCCGCTGAGAAGGTCAGTACATCGTCCGGTATATTTATAATGGCACCGTACTCCCGCAGGAAATCCATACCCAAAATGGCCCGTTTACAACACTCTGAAAGAATAACCAAGGTTGCCACGAATGATGAATCCCCGATCTTGATTCGTGCGGTGCACTTTTCGGTAGATGTCAGCAGCTGGCCTCCGGCTCCTCTAATTTGCGGCCCCGTCCATTTCATTTTTACCTTCTTGAGTTGGTCGGCCAGATTCGCACTCATTATTGAAAAGTCCGCACCAGTGTCGACCAGTGTGGTCACGTCGTGACCGTCAATTGAAAGTGTAATGTCGGCGGTGACAATCTCGTCTTTCGTCGGTTCATTCGGAATGTGCGGCACTTCATGCGGCAGTAATGGGGGATTTTCAAATCTTCGGCAATTCGCGACCTTCCCTTGTAAGGTCGCTGCTTTTAGTTTCCCCGGCGTGGACTGGGAGACCTTCCTTTCGCCATGTTCGTGGTGCTACCCCTATTAGATTGGGGAAAATGACCTGGGGAGGGCGAGCGTGACCAGAACCCAGGATAACGTCTCGCGGGATCGTCGCGCTCGTTTCAACGTTGCGTCTTCCGTCGAAATAGCGCCGAGGGGTAGTGAACGGAAATCCTTGATACCCGGCAACGCGATGAGGACAATACCGCACGATGTGGCCTGTTCCCCACAATGGAAGCACAGGGGCCTGTAGTCAGGGGTACGCCATATGTCGGTTTTGCGGAGTGGGGGTCGCATCGGTGTCGACGTTTCCCTGTAGTACCAAGGCACTGTCGGCGGCTGTTGCTGGTGGTACTGTTGAGGTGGCGGCACGTTAGATCTAGGCTGTCGACGGAGAATATCTGCATGTGTTGGCCTAACTATTTCAGTGTTCGGCTCGGGAAGTGAAAGCGCTTGCCTTATTTCTTGGCGAACAACTTCTGTGATCGACGTAATCGCACAGTCATTCGGTGTGGCGCCGAGCTTCTTCACCTCTTCTTGCACAATTTCGCGTATCTGGTCACGCAAAGAACGCTCGTCAGGAGTCACAGTGGTCACGGTGGTTGCGCTGATTTGTCCGGTGTTGTTTGGACGGTCGTACTGGCAGTACCGTAGCTGTAGTGCGCGTTCTATGGCGGTCGCCTCCTTCGAAAATTCGTTGACGCTTGAAGGTGGGTTCCGTACGAGACCAGCAAACAGCTGCTCTTTAACACCACGCATGAGGTGGCTGATCTTTCTCTTCTCGCACATATCGGGATCGGCTCGATGAAAGAGACGAGCCATGTCCTCAACAAACATAGCAACAGACTCGTTGGGCTTTTGAGTCCGTGATTGAAGGAGTCGTTGTGCATGCTCCCGCCTTTCGGTGTTTGCAAAGGTGTCCACGAACTTCCGCCGGAACTCGTCCCACGTTGACCACACGCGATTCGTGAACCACGTGCGAGCCCCGTCTT